ATGGCAAATTGGCTGCAGCATTTTGCTAATCCACTAATTTGGTCACTTTGTCAAAGAAGGATATAAAGTTTGTCTGGCATGATCTGTTCATAACAAACCTATCTTGGCTTCTAGTAATCACCTTGTTCATTTCTAGGTGTTCACTAATCTTTCAGTTTATTATCTTTTCCAGGATTTTCTCTGGTTTTGATGTCAAGCTGAATGGTCTATAATTTTCTGGATCCATTATACCCCTTTTTGTACACTGGTATCACATCAGCTCTTTTCCAGTCCTCTGATACATCTCCTGTGCTTTAGGAGCTTTGAAAGATTACATTCAGTGGTTCAAAAGTAACATTAGTTAGCTTCTTCAGAATCCTGGGATGCAAATCATCTGATCCAGTTCATTTGTACTCGTTCAGAGTAGATAGATATTATCTTACTATTGCTTGCCTGTTTTTGACTTGTGTACCTGATCTGCCTCCCACTGTGGTGCTTTTGATAGGTTGGGCTATTTCTTCCTTTTGTATAAAAACAGATGCAAAGAAGGAATTAAGTTGCTTTTTCCCTGCCACCTGTCACGTTCTTGCCATTTGCTCCCATTAGTGGACCTATTGTTTCCTTGACTTGTTCATATAGAATAAATAGTGTAAGTACTTAGTGTAATTCCATATCCTTCTGCACTTTTAGGTCCCATTTTTTAATAATTAACTGATTAGGGTGCTGGAGGCTAAAATATACAAAGAACAGATGCAGGAATTGGCATGTTTAGTTATTAAAAAAAAGGACTTGGGATGACATGATAGCAGTGTTCGAATATTTGAGGGGCTGCCCCAAAGAAGAGGGCTATTTCCAAAAGCACCAGAAGGCAGGACAAGAAGCAATGGATTGAAATTAATCAAGGAGAGAAACTAACTTACAACTAAGGACAAACTTCTTGACAGTTAGAACAATTAATCAGAGGTTTCCAACTTGCCTCCAGAAATGTGGATGCTTCAACACTGGATGTTATAAAGAAGGGATTTCTCTGAAATGATGTAGGGTTTCCTGCTTGAGCAGGGGTTGGATTACAACACCGCCAAGGTCCTTTTCAACTCTGTTATTCTTCTGTTATCAGCAAAATATTGTTTAAACACCATAGATACAACTTTAAATGCGTAACTTCAACTGTCCCATATACAGTTTTTTAAATTTACACAAAATAGCAACAAGTTATCCCAAAATTTCCTACCTACTAAATGCAAAACAAATAAAGAATCGAAGCGGAATACTAAAGACAATAAAAATCATTGTGGATCTTCTATAAACAAGCAGGATATGAGAAGGAAAAATGATGAGCCACAGCTGCTCATTAAATTAGTTCATCACTTGGTTTTCAAAAATGTATTTCAGATTGCAGCATATATAATCAGAAAATCTGCAAGCTGTAGGTATTTATAAATTATTGTGAAGTTTTATAAATTGGAACAAGTTTGTGATATTCACAAGGGAGAGGCTAGTGGAGGTATATATACATACGTACATAGTTAGGAAAATGTGAAAACTTTTAAAAATAGATTGTTTAGATCTGTTTCCAAAGCTAAAGTTGAAAGTTAATATGAATATTGCTTGAAATGCTATCGTGAATTTACACTGATTCTATAAAAAAACTGTCATTATAATGATGCTATATTAATCTCTACATGACCCCATGGTTTTAGTTTATTCCAGTCCCCATGATTCAAAAAAGATGTTGAGACCTTAAAAAGTGTGCAGAGAAGAGCAACAAAGATGACGAAGGGTTGGAGACTAAATTGTATGATTAATCTTTGAGGGAGCTAGGTGTATCTAGCCTATTGAATTGGGGGCACAATTGGACTAATAGACCTCCAAGGTTCCTTTCAGTCTTATGATTCTATGTTCTATGGAATGTTGTAATAGTTTTTAAGAAACTTCAATTGAAATGAAGTCTGAATTAATTATAGGAGGGATTGAGAGAGACCACAAAAGGGAAAAAGGAGGAGGGTCTATGTGACTGATGAGAGACTTCGTCAGAAGATCACAAAAGAGAATTACATGACCGTAGGGTATTGCAAATATTAAAGATATGAGTCCATTGCCAAACATCTGAATTTTGATCATGTGACCATGGGAATGCTGCAACGGTTGTAAGTGTGAAAAACAGTCATAATTCACTTTTTTTAGTGCCATTGTAACTTTGAACAGTCATTAAATGAAGTGTTGTAAATCAAGGATAACCTATAAATGGGTTTTAGCAGTAGCATGGCCAAAGGAAATAGACATTTAAGAGAAAAATGACTATATTTGCCCTAAGAAATCCCTGTAACCAGTGTCATATTAATCCATGTAAGGATTACTTGTTTTAGAAAGGAACTATATAGCTATAGCTGTGCTGGCAATCCAAAAACTGATCTTTGCATTAATTCTGTGTCTGAGAGATCAAGAATGTACCGTTTTATGAGAAGCAGAGATATTAAAATACAGGTTTTATGTAATCTTCATATTATTTGCAGAAATGTGAGTTTCTTTTAATAGCTTAATTATATCCACTCTTCTCCCACTTTCCTGACTGCTTCCTTTTCTAATTGCAGGAGCAGAATGCCCTTATCAGCACGAGAATTTAAAGAGCCTGATTAGTTGCCAATCATACTTAGCATTTCTATTGTCTCATGGCTTAAGCACTCTTTTCTCCCTCATTTGACGGATTTCTCCAGTGCTATTTTTGGTGAAATCTTCAGCTTCACTTTTTCCATACTGCTTCTGAAAATAATTCACATTAATAGAATTCTGCTGTACTTAAAATTTTTCTTTTTCTTTTGAGTTTGCTTTTAACAGAAGCATCACCATTATGTATCTAATGTAGTAGAAACTTGCATTAATAAAACCGAAGTTTAATCCAAAAACTACTTTATCTGGTATTTGTTAGCAACTGCCATCTATTCTGCAGGCCACTTGTATGCTATAGCAAAATCTTAGTAAGGTTTACTCAGCTTTATTTCTCTGTTGAAGTCAAATAACCAAATGAAGAACAATAAAAGTTACTAAAGAAAAACTAATTTGAATTTTTGAACAAAATGTGGAACATTGTTATTAGAATGAACTATTGGCTTATTAAAAAATCTCATCTCAAATATATTTTGAAAAATGGATACCTGGGATTAGCTGTACAACTAATACTTTCAGTTAAAAATATTAGAATTGTTTTAAATTATTAATAATTAAATAATTATTTTTAAAAATGTATTGTGAGCTGCCCTGAGTCTTCAGAGAGGGGCAGCATATAAATTTAATTAATTAAATTAAATTAAAAATAAAGGCTTGTGTTCATATTTTATCATAAATTATTAATAACAAATACTATGCACATATTTAGAAAAAAATTATCAAGCAAATCCTGAGCAACAAAATTCAATTTGATTTTGAATATGGTGTAACTGACAGGATGATCTGACATTCACAAGTGCTAATCTACTCACTAAATAGGTATAGATATAGAATTGATATTTCATACAAGAAAGAGAGATTGTTGGTCACATAAACATGAGAAATATCTCTGTCATTCTCTCGGAAGAAGAAAATGTAAATTATTCTTTTTTTTTAAAGAAAACATTTGAAGGTAGAACTCAAGGAGTTGTCAGAGGAAGATTCTGAGGACAAGACTAGAGAAAGGACTGAGTTCTATCCATTTCTCCAACAACTTGAATATTAACTCATTGGAATCCCAAAGTCCCAGAATAATAGAGACAGAAATACTATCTGTTTGGGGATGGTACTGGCAGGAATTATAAACATAGGAACTCTAAGCAGGAGTGGGGGTGGGAAGGTAATGGAGGGAGTTTCTGTGTTAGATCCTCCAGCCTTCTACTTCCTAGGATCACATTTCAGTACAATGTTTGATTATGTTTTTCTCCCTACAAAGATGAAAATTTGAAAATCTGCTTAAATTTTTCACCATTTCATAGCTTTGATCATGGCAAGTTCCAGAATGCGGCCGCGCACCCCTGACACACACACACACACACACACACACACACACACACACACACACACCCCATATCAAAATGTAAACATTTTATAGACTATTTTGTATTTCCTCTCTATTGTATTTCTTTATTATAAAGCTTGAGCAATTTTAATTCTAGATTACATAGTGATATAAAGAAATATTTAAGAAGAACTCAGGACTTGTGACCCACCAATCCAAATACAGCTGCCAAACCTTCATTTATTTCCTGCTTGAGTCTTTTAAAGCAAGATAATCAAGCACACTAGAAGGACTCATCCTGACAAAACTCAAAATGAATAGTTTCCTATATAAAAATAATAGAATGACAGAGACCAAACAGTCCTTCCCACATTAAAAATACTAATAAAATTACAGGAATATTCTAAGGGACCTTTGGATGTAATCCCTCTTGTTTCAGTTTGGGCTTTTATATTTTTACCATAATTTTGATTTCTTTTGTTTAAGCCATTCAAGTGTACTAATTGTCATTTGTTTGATGTACCCCGTCTACTCTTTGCTCTGTTTCTGTAATCTAAGAAGGTATACAAACATGGGTCTTTGCAGAAGTTTATTATATTAGTTAGACTGAACAAAAGTAGCATTGTGATGTGATGACAATTTCTTGATCCTTATATAATGGGTTGGCACTTGTATTGAAACATCACAATGGTGTTTATGTTATTCTGTCCCTGCCACGCCCCACAAGGATGCCATTATATGAAAAACAAAATGTATCAAACTTCTAATGTCCTACCATGGGCTACAACTGACATGCAGAATAACAGGTCAGTTGTACCTGTATTATGTAATTTTACTTTAAAAAGCCAAATGAGGCTTTTATTTTTGTTTTGCATGGTCATAAGGATTAAGCATATCAAGATTTTTGTATAAAATGTTTTCTAATTCTATGCAGGATATAAAATAACAGCATCATTTTTCTCTAATAATAGCATTGCTTTGAGTTTCAATTACATGCTAATCACATGCTTAAAATGTTCAAAATGGTTGCTCATACCTGATTGTGGGCTTTGCTTAGGGATTTTGGCATCTACTGGAGGATTAGAGGTGGGACTTTGACTAGCAGAATTATGGATGTTGTTAGAGATGGCAGCTGTGATATTCTTGCGAGGTTTATCCTGCAGCCACATTGGAGAAGCTTCAAAAGCCTGCATTCTTCGGGAGTGGCTGTTTGCATTCACTTTGAGATAAGCTTGGGCTTTGTATTCTTGAAGTTCTCCAAAATTGGCATCCATCACTCTGCACTCATACAATCCTTCATCCTTTCTCCTGACTTTGGAGATCTGTAGCTTGTGGGAAATATCATTCCCCTGTACTTTCACTGTCTGTAAAAATGCCAGAAACATGTCTAAATGTTATTGCTATTAGTAGATACCTCTCCATGTCTTCCTTTCATGCACTTATGTCCAGTTAACAGTGTCCCAGATCAACTAGAACCAAGAGAGGGGGGAAAAGCCTCCATTACTTTTACCTAGTAATGGTTGCCAGGTTATTGCATATCTGGCTTGTTATGTTTGCATATTTGTTTATGATACCCTACTGTTCGCCACCTTTTGTAAAGTGTTAAGGATAATTCTATCAAACAGCTGGATTTATATTAAAAATAATTTTAGAGCAAATAAATGAACCATTTTAACAGTATCATAATATTTAAATTTGATATATGACTTTCCCAATCTTTTAGATGTTTCGTATATATTTTGCTACACAGCTATGACAGTAGTGTTATCCCTGCATTGTTAGGACAGAGCAGAGGTTCTAAAAGACGGTGACTTAGCTAAGAAGAAAATGGTGCTCATGAAAGGCAAGTAAAGTGCATACGAGGCACTTTGTAAGGATTAGGCATGTTATCAGGATAGGAGCTAAGGTTTTAAATAGAATGCAGAGTGGCCCAGAACCACCATGGGAATTCCTCAATAGCTAACCATGGCTACAGATTTAGACCAATCACACCCAATTGATAAAAGGTGCTGGTGAATATATTATTGAAGAAATCAATAATATATATATATTATTTTATGGGCTACTGCAGATTGGAAAATGGACCATACAAGCCTCTGGCATTTAAAGATTTTAAATTAAATAAGCTGCTTAAGCTTCCTTTTCCCAAGCAGCTTAAATATTTTTTCTCTTTCCTTTACATTCTCACAGCAGCCCAGGGGGAGGGGAGGAGACGGAGGGAGAATGGGTGGGTCAAGATCATTCTAATGTCTACTAGGCACAACATTCCTTTGAAGGAATATTTTATTTCTCTTAATTCACACTTAAAACCCTCCATTTTAAGAGAGAAATGTAACACGATCTATTTCAGTTTAAACAGAGCTGATCTGAATCCAGCTAGCTGTTTCTTTGTTTTAAATTCTTACTTTTACTAACTACACACAATATTTGTTACAATTAATGGGTTTTTAATACCAATCTAATCCAATAAACTTTAAATTTACTTAAATTACTGAGGTTACTTAATTATCAATTTACAATGATTGCAAGGGAAGCTAGTGTCCAAGACAATGCCTTTTTATTGAAAACTAAATCCCAATAATTTTGTGAGATATGAATCTCTTTTTTAAATTATGCCATTTCTTTTCTGGCTTTTACTTTTTGCAATTTGCTGAATAAGGAGTCTATGCCACTCACTTCTACTTTATTGCCAAAAACTCTGAGGTAATAAATCAAATGTTATTGATCTAGTCTTGCTGGAATGTATTTGGGGTATATCATACTTGCCCAGATACCCCTTATTTCATTGCAATCTGTTTTCTCAACCTGTTTATGAGAAGCTTTACTTCTCACAACATTAATCCCTCCTGAACTTAGATTTCAAAAATACGAATAGTGATATACTAAAAACACCTTTTATTGTGTCATTTTTCTTTAAATTGAAGAAATTGAATTGAGGACTCCATTAATCAGATAAACAGCTGGAATAGTGGACTGGAATTAAATGATAGTAAAAGCTGTGGATAGGAAGACTAGAAAAATGATGACAATGAATCATGCCCTTCATCCTTGAAACAATGTTGACTCACCCTACTTACCAAGGAAAATGGGTGAGCATTGAACATTGCAAGTACATCAAACAGTTGAAGAAGAAGAAAAGGATATTGGAACAATATCTGAAGAATAGCAGTGCATCTGAAGATGCACTGAAGTTAATGTACCACACCTACTGAGTACTGGATAGAAAAAACTGGTCTACAAAAAAGACCAAATGAAGAACAGAAAAGAGGCATGGGGGAGACAAAGCATTACGTTGAAGAAAATAGAAAGCAAGATAATAATAAGACCTAGCAATGGCTAAGAGTAGAAAAGTTGAGGAAAGAGATTGAGGAGCTTTATTATGACTTCAGAAGACCAAGCCTTAAGAACAAATGTATCCAAAGCCAGAATTGAGAAGACAGCAACAGACAGCAAGTGCCACCTCTTCAAAGAAGCTGAAGAAACAGTGGATTAGTTAGTTAACTGTTGCAAGAAGACACTCAGACATATAAACAACAACAGGACAAAGTAGCAACATCTGTGCATTGGAAGATCTGCAAGAAATTTCATTTGCCTGCAAGAAAAAACTAGTGGGACCATAAAATAGAGCAAGTAATAGAAAATGAGGGAGCTAAAATATTCTGGGATTCAGGCATCTGCCACATAATACCTCAGATTTAACAATTATTGGTAAGAAAAACAAACATCTGGGTAAATAGAAATGGCAGTACTTGAGGGTAGCAGAATAGAAGATAAAGAACTGGAGAAAATAATGGTATATAAAGACCTGCAAATAGAAATAGAATGACTGTGGCAAAAGAAAGAAAATTGCTACCAATATTCATAGGCACTTTGGGTGCAATTTTAAAACAATGGGAGCACTACTTGATCATCATGGTAGCGATCAGAGAGCCATGTTGGTGCACTGGTTAGAGTACAGTATTGCAGGCTAATTCTGCTGATTGCTGATTACAGGCAGTTCGAATCTCACCATCTCAGGATTAATTCAGCATTCCATCCTTCTGAGGTCAGTAAAATGAGGACCCAGATTGTTAGGGGCAATATGCTGATTCTGTAAACTGCTTAGAGAGGGCTGTAAAGTACTGTGAAATGGTATATAAGTGCTATTGCTATTGCTATCATTGCCATTGATAAATCAGCCATCAATCAATCAATTGCAAAAGGCACCTTTACTCAGAACAGGGGAGGGGAGGGATCCTGTTGATTCCTAAAGAAGTAAAGAAGGTGACCTTGATAGAAATATAGAACTATAATTACCTAAGTCAGTGATGGCGAACCTTTTAGACACCGAGTGCCCAAACTTTGTATATGCGCATGCCCAAACTGAAAGGTGCGTGTGCGAACACGTGCATTCATGGACAGGCACATGCATGGAAATGCAGGGACATGCACAGGCATAGACATGTGCAAATGTGTGCTTGCATGCATGCATAGCAGAAACCCAAAGACCAGCTGGCCGGCAGGAGGTAGAGTATCCCAACACTGGCAGCGCGACAAGAGGTAAGGTCTTTTTCTTTCATGAGCTTCTGTTTCGTCTTTTGCAGGGAAACAGAAGCTCACGAAAGAAATACCATGGAGATCTGATCTGGGGTGATGGTGCTCGTGCCAGCAGAGAGGGCTCTGTGTGCCACCTCTGGCATGCATGCCATAGGTTCATCATCATGGACCTAGGCACTGAACTCATTCTTTAACTCCTGGCAAATATGAAAATATTCAGAAACAAGACAAATACACACTCTCCTTCAAGGATTAATTCACCAACATGGACTCATCCACACATCACAACAAATAAGTAAGTGAACATGCTAACCCTGTGAGAACTCTGGGTTCAAATTCTTCCCAGGTAGTTTTGCTCCTTTTATCCTCTCTCATGCACTTCATTTTATAAATAGAGAATAGCACAGTCAAATTCAGAGATGGGGTATTTTAAAATTGTTTTTGCCTGAAATAATAATAATAAAAACTAATGCTGCAAGCAAAACTAAAAGACATAACTGTATGTCTTTAATAGATCATATTTTCAGAAAATACATCTAATAAACAATTGTGCTCTAGTTTTTCAATTTTCCATATTGGAGTAATAAAATTGCAGATTCCAGGTCTGGAAGGGATGTTGGCAATCTTCTAGTCCAATCCCTGCCGAAGGCAGCAGACCTTATACCATCCTGGACAAATGGCTGTCCAATCTTTTCATGATAACCTCCAACAATGGAGCAGCCATAACTCTGGTAGTAAAGGTAAATAGAACCCACCCCCGAGGCTAAACTATATGATGAACAGCTAGGTATGGTTAGCCTAACAGAAAGAAGTGTTGGGGTGACAAGTTAGCTGGTATTTGAAGGGCTGTCACAGAGAAGATGGGATAGACTTATTTTCCAAAGTACCTGAGGGCAGGATGAAAAGCAGTGGGTAGAAGTTCGTTAAAGTATAAAGCATATTATCATTTCTCATGATTTTGATGCTACGCCTCTGTTGATGCATCCAGGACTGTATTGGGTTTTTTGGCAGTTGCAGCACACTGCTGGCTTCTATTTAAGTGGTGGTCCACTAGGATATCTAGACCCCTCTCACAGTTACTACTAATGAGCCAGATGTCACCTATTCTATACCTGTGCATTTGTTTTTCCTGCCTAAATGCAGGACCTTACTTTTCTCATTGCTGAACTGTATTTTGTTTGATAGGACCCAATGTTCAAGTCTGTCAAGTTCCTTCTGAATCCTGAGAGAATCTTTCAAGGTGCTTGCAATTCATCCCAGTTTGGTATCTCTGAAATTTGATGAGCTCTCCTTCTATCCCTTCATCTAATTATGGTATTTATGAATATGTTGAAGAACACTGGGCCCAAGACATAAGTATCCCATTATAGGCTTCCCTTCATGCAGATGTAGTTTCATTGAGTACTTTTGTTTTTGTTCGTTGAAGTCAGACAGTGGTGAAATCTAAAATGTGTTACTACCGATTCTGTGGGCATGGCTTGGTGTGTGTGTGTGTGTGGGGGGGTAATGTGACTGGGTGGGCGTGGCCAATTTTTTTTTTTTTTACTTTTAAAACCATTTTTTCTACAACCTCTTCAGCGAAAAATGCTTTCAAAAGGCTCTGAGATCCCAGCTGAGTTGCCTGATTGGCAGAGGCTTTTTTCTTTTAAATGCCTCTGACAATCCAAGCTGAGTTGCCTGATCAGCAGAGGTTTTTTTTCTTTTAAAAGCTTTTGACGATCCCAGCTGAGTTGCGCAATCATCAGAGGCTTTTTTTTTTACTTTTAAAAGCATTTTTTCGGCCGAAGAATTGTAGAAAAAAATGCTTTTAAAAGTAAAAAAAAAAAGCCTCTGATGATTGTGCGGCTCAGCTGGGCATGGAAGGTGGGGGCAAGGATTTTTGCTACCAGTTCTCCAAATCACTCACCTCCATCGCTACCGGATCGGGCGATCCTGTCCGAACCGGGAGCATTTCATCCCTGAAGTCAGCTCTTCAACAACTGGCTGACTTTTCAGTCATTTATTTACTATTCAGTTTTAAATATGTGCTTTTCATAGGCTTTTCATGTCAAATAGGAGTGATGAGCTCATGCCAGTGTAGGCACAACATGCTTGGAAGCATTTGTCTCTTAGTAACTTTCTAACTATCTCAGCCTTAGATTTACATTAACTGAGTAATTTAAAGTGCCTAAGAGACAGGAATGTTATGACATTGATTATATGTGTGAATGGCTAAAGTTTAGATTTTGTTTTATACTGAAGTTTCATGAAACATTTCTCAAAAAATATGCCTATATCTAATGTCTTTAATTATGTAAATATACATAATTCAATTTTCCGATCAATTTGTATGATGTGAGTAGAGCAGATGTTTATACAAAATTCTATGCAACATTATTAACAAATTCAGCCTGTTGTCCCCCATCCAGCCTCCAGGCACTGCAAAAGGATGTTCACAGCATCACATGGGTCACCTACAGTAGAAATATAGAATTGGGTGTCATCATCATACAATATATACCTCAACCCATGGTGATGAAGGATCTCACCCAGTGGTTTCATATAGATGTTGAAATGGAGTGGAGATAGTATCAAGCCCTGTGGTACACAACAAAATAGCAGCCAAGGGCTGACCCTTTCACTCCCCTCCTACATCACAGAGAAAGAACCCGAACCAGCATGAACTGTGCCCCCTATCCCCATCCCCTGGAGCCAGCCCAAAAAAATGGTTGATTGTGGTTGACGGTATTGAAAGCCACTAAGCCACTAAGAATTAAGGAGAGCAAGGATGGCTGCCTTACACCCATCTCGCTCTCTCCAGAGACCATTGACAAGCACGACCAGTGCCATTTCCATCCCATAATCAGGCCTGACTCATGTCTGAAAAGGATCTAGATAATCTGTTTCATCTAGCATCTTTTGCAGCTATCAGGCCACCATCTTTTCCACAACTTTCCCTAAGAATTGGAGGTTGGAAACTTGATGAAAATTGTCCTGGCAGGTGGGATCCAGTTGTGTTTTTTTTAAGGAGAAGCAAACTAAGTCTTGCTTAAAAGCATGCAGAAATGTCCCCTCTCTAGTGATATATTAATTACTGCCTGGACCAGTAGTGGGTTCCACTTGCCTTCACTACCGGTTCGGAACTGTGCGAGTGCGTGCGGTGCTTCTGCGCATGCACAGAGCATCCATGATGACATCCGGGTAGGTGGCTGAATCCTCCCTCCGCTGCTACTACCAGTTCGCCCAAACCTGGGCGAACTGATAGAAACCCACCACTGGCCTGGACCCACCTGCTAATCCCCATTCTGGAGTCTTTCACTATCTAGGACAGTTAGTTAGGGATCTAACCAGTGGTGGCATTCAAAATGTTTTACTACCAGTTCTGTGGGCGTGGCGTGGCGTGGCGTGGCATGGTGTGGCTTGGTGGGCATGGCTTGGTGGGCATGGCAATGGAAGGTTACTGCAAAATCCCCATTTCCTCCTGATCAGCTGGGACTCAGGAGGCAGAGAATAGATGGTGGCAGGGCCAGTCAGAAGTGGTATTTACCGGTTCTCCAAACTACTCAACATTTTCCGAACATTTCTTCAGAACTGTCAGAACCTGCTGAATACCACCTCTGGATCTAACTAACAGATCGTGGCACTGACAGCATCATGAGCCCTGTCCACTTCATCAGAGCCAATTGGATGAAACTGTTCCCAGATAACAGGCTAGACATGGACTATCTCCATGCATGGGGTCCAATGGAAATGGATCTGAGCAACTTTGTTCATTAGGTGCTGTACAAACACCTCGGTCCAGTCCTGCAAAAGATCACCAAGTCCCCCTGATCTAGGCGGGAACAGGTGACCAGAAACAGGGCAGCACTCTGAGGATACAACAAGAGCAGAAAAATACTGCTGTTTTTCCACTCTTACTACCATGAAGTAGCCCTTAATAGTTGCTCTAAGTTATGTCCAGTCAGTATCATCCTTTGTCCTCCTCCAGCAGCACTCTAGGTATCTCTTTGCTCTTTTCAGAATATGCAAAAATACTATTCTAAGAATCTTGTCCATGACATTAATAGACATTTACATACTTCCTTTACTTACTGACTTATTTACTTACTTTACTTACGAGATTTAGAGGCTGTCCAACTCTGAAATGTTATTTTGTTATCACTTGGATAGTTATGTAGCATTTATATAGTCTCCAAAACACATTTCAGATGAATGCTCACAGAATGAATCCCTTCTCATTAAAAAAATTAAATTAAAATGGAGAAGACCTCAAAAACAGGGTCTGAAGACAGCTCTGTTACTGGCATGTCATACAACACAAATAATTTACTTCAATTATGTGCACCTGTTGCAAAACCTAGAAATATATAAGCAGTATAGGGGTTCACCTGTCAGGAAAATCTTCAGTGCTGATAAAAAGCATGCTCAAGATAGATTGACTAGGAAACTGTATCAGTATTACCTGCAGATTGAGAAATACACAGAATTCCTTGAGATACTGTGATCATTTTCTTATGGAAACTGCGCTAGTGTATTCCTTGGCATTCCTTTAGAAAATGCTTCAGCTATGAAGGCACCTTCAAAATTTCCCTTTAGGAGGATAGCAGTGACAACTTTACTACCAATATATCAACATGGAAATATCAGCAGTAAATTAATTCCCAAAGAAAATAGTTATGAGACATATTGTCTTTTTCAGGAAAATGCAATTTATCTATGGTTTCTGTGATTTTTATTCCAAAGACATAGAAAGGCATTAATTAGTCCAAGACTGATGGGTTTTTGGTATGGTTATTAATTAAAGAGAATAAAGCAAGTAGAAAGTCCTTTAAAAGGAAACATTACTCTATATTTTGTTATACACTTACACTTATCTTTGTTCCATCATTATCCAAGTCTCTCTCTGGTGATAGCTCCACCTGTTGGAAAATGAATAACTGTTTTACATATAGAAGGTAAAAAGTTTCTTATGTAAAAAATAAATTCCATCACTTCTCATTTCAAATCACTCCAAATTGCAATATATAGGACTGTAAAGCAAGAACATCTAACAATTACTGTATTTACAGGCTTTCAAGTGTGCTAAAATGCTGCTAATCTGTACCTTATTGTGAGATTGAGTCATTGCTTATATAACTAGACATATGGTACACAAAGTGACTGCACTGTATCCATATGAAATCATAGTGAGAATCTGCTGTGGTTCAGTATAACATATATATGTTTCACCTATTTCCTACACCTGCTTTGCCTACTTGTTGCAAAATGTGATAATGGCTCTTATTCTAAGCATTGTTATGAATGTGTTTGCCATTTCATAGTTAGGGGGTTAAATAGTTAGGGGGTTACTTTGCTGTTACTCTAGTAGTTACAGCAAAGTAGAGATAGTCTACTATTAAATATCTGATGGTAATTGGCAATAACAGGAAAGTGTCTTTCACACCACACCTGCTGCTTGTGAGCATCCCAGAGTCATCTGGTTGGCTACTATGGACATTAGAGTATCAACTCACTTGAATAAAAGAATGTTGCTTCAAAGAATGTCCTTACCTCATCCCAGGGACTAGCAGAACTCATTCATGTCCATATTCTCTTAAATAACTACACTGGTTAATTAAGCCACACTGGTCCACCATAAGAGATCATGGTCCATAAACTTCAGTGAAGAGGCCTTCATCCTGCAGTAGCTTAATTTATATCCTCATGAAGGTTCTTCCATTTTTTCTTTTCAGTGCTATTATTGTGACCAATCTAGTTTACCAATATTTTTAAACTAGACCTGCAGATTAGGCAATAAACAAAACAAAGCAAAACAAAAACTCTGAAATACATGGCAAAGATTTGTCCCTGGGGAGATAGATCCAAAGAATGACCTGGTTGGAGCCAAGCACTGTCTATAATTATCAGGCATATGCTGTGAGCTGACATGTTTATTCCACTGGAATTACTTTTATGAACAATTCAGAGAGAAGGAGAAAATAAGTTTATTGTATTGTTGTGAATTTATCAGTGAGCATGTGAGATACAGAACTGATTCTGCACATTGCTGATCGATGAATAAGTAATAATAAGTATTCAGTGTAAAGTATATTTTAGTTTACCATAATATGAAACAGATCTATAATCTTAATCCATTCCCCACCATTACCACTTAAAATAATAAAAAAAAATATATTGAATCCTGAGGCTGAACAGATTCGTCTGGAAATAGTTTGAAAGGATCCAATATACTCTGGATCTAATCTGGAATCCACAGGAATATTTTAAAAGTTCAGATAATATCCTGTATATAAAATGAATTTTATGGAATAATTTATAACATGCTTGAATGTCACTGACCATCATTAATTCTAGACTAAAATTTTAATTTAAGAGGATTGTAATGAATAGTTAAATGTCTGTGGAGATTCTCAGTCATCCAGATCATGGTTGTCACAAAGGTGCTTTATCAAAAGGCAACTGGATTTTCTTTGTTTTTCCTTTAAGATGTTTTGCTTTTCATCCAAGAAACTTCTGTACTATGTCCTCTTTTGAAGTATTAATATAATTTATCTAAAAATCAAGGGCTTTTTTTTTGTTTGAGGAAGACAACCATGTTCAACTCACTACTGATAGAGAAAGCCATTCCTCATTGCTATACAGGTAGTCCTCGACTTATAACGGTCCATTTAGTGACTGTTCAAAGTTACAATGACACTGAAAAAAGTGACATGACCATTTTTCAGTTACGACCTTTGTAGCATCCCCATGATCATGTGATCCTTTTGCAATCTTTTGACAAGCAGAGTCAATGGGCAAGTCGGATTCACTTAACAACCAAGGTACTAACTTATCAACTGCAGTGATTCACATTACAACTGTGGCAATAAAGGTCATAAAATGGGGCAAAACTCATTTTAAAAATGTCTCACTTAGCAATTGAAATTTTGGGCTCAGTTGTGATCATAAGTCAAGGACTACCTGTAGTTAGCTAGATAATTTGATTAGATACCTCTTACTTTGATAATATTAATGAATTATGAAACTGTCTGGACATAACAAAGACATTGCAGAGATGAGTATATAGAATCTGAAAGATGCAAACATGTATTTTCTACTCTGTCTCAACATAAGGAATAAAACTGACATGGGATCTATTAAGTTCTTTCTAAAATTATATGCTTTGCATTGGTCAAATTTAACTCCTTTAAGAGTCTACACCTTTTACTCGTGTTTAGAAATAACAGGTTTTTCAAAGCCTGTTAGCCATGAAATAAAAAGCCAGGATTCTATTCCTTGGGGTTATCTCTTGCTCGGAGATTTTTTTTACTTCTCCTAGTAAGTGAGTATATTACATTTCTGGAAAAAACCAGGTCTGTTCCCCGAATCTCTACTTTCTAGCTGCTTAGGGAACGCTTAGGTTGTGAGCTGGTACCTGAGCATCCATCACCTCAGCTCCAGCTTCTTGGTCCTCAGTTGCCCTCAGAAACCACCACTGGATTTCCAGGTACACTGAGGCAGAGCCACTCTGGAATGCACAGGACATCTCCACATTCTGCCCCTCAGTGGCTGTGACATTCTGAGGGAATTCAGTAAATTTGGCTGGAAAAGAAAAGCAGGTCTCATTAGGATTCTTTCTCTCTTTTTCTGTCTATACTTCCCTTTTCTAGTCATTTCCTTGATTTCTCTTTTTTGGAATATGGTCTTTTACAGATGTACATGGGAATAAATTGCACTGCATTCACCAGATCATATTTATAAGTGATCATGCACTCAGATACATGTGCATGTATCTGATTAATTGATTGAATAGGACTTAAACCCAACTAAGTACACTTAGGATTGCAGTACTGTCTTTCCCAATTTTATTTCTTCTTCTTCTTGTACTAATGTTCATGTCTTTTTTATTCCATGCCCTCCTTTGAAGTATTAATGATCACTTTTATTTTTCTTCTTCTATATTTGTCTAAGAACCAGTGCTATCCATGGGTGAATGGAAAAACTAACTATAGAAATATTTGCACAATCACATATAATGAAACACAAATATTGTATGGAAGGCAGTATTTCAATATTTTTCCTTAGGGATTAGTGAAATGTATCAGGCAATCCAAATGTTTCTTTTTCATATATTTACCTATTAAGTATTAAGTAATTATCAGAATAGTATGATTCCTTCTTTTCTATTTTTAAAAACAAGATTTAAAAAGTGTGTTAAGGCATTTATTTGTTATAAAAATTCCTGTGGTTAGATCCTACTTAATGTCAGTCTCAATTTTGTTTGAAATACCACACTAAATAAAAAGTAGATAATAATTTAGTTCAGAAGATCCAAACACTCGAAATACTTCACTTCATTAGTTCAGTCCCAGTACTCCAGTATGGCTATCTCTTTGAAAAACAGAAAATAAAGAACATGTTTCTTAATACATATTTCAGAGAAAAATCGGCATAGGCCCTTTATATTCCCACAGGAATATTGGGGAACTAATCTGTTCAATTAAGCCACCACACATCTTGCTTTCAGTTTTCAGACAGTAAGCACCAGTTTGACCACTTCAGTTCTGTGATATTACAGATTCACAGTGGACATGTTGAAAAGTCTTCCATAATAACTTACACATATGTGCTAGATTATATTCATTGCTCATTGCTGTGTCATTGGAGAAAATTCTTGATTGCTCTTCACTTTTTAAAATAGTTAAATTGCAAACAGCCACAGGTATCTTTTTCAGGGATCTCTCTCTCTCTCCCTCTCCCTCTCCCTCTCCTTCTCCCTCTCCCTCTCCCCTCTCTCTCCCTCCCTCCCCCCTTCTCCCTCTCCCCCTCTGTCTCCCCTTTGAAAAGAAAATCTCCTTCTCAATCATTCACTAGCATAGAAACTCGTTGGTTGTTAAAAAAATTAATCATATTCCTGCTGGATACTATTCCGTCACTCCTGTCTAAAGTGTAACAAATAAACAAGCCAAAAATTGCTAACGGCATTTCCAATTGTCTGTACAGTATTTGGAGGAATACCCTAATAGGATTTCTCTCCATGGTGCTGAAAACTACACTGCAGCCTTTAAGTCTCAAACAACTGGGTGGGTTCTGCAGAGCAGGGGCTACTTGGAATGCAGATGGTGCCTTTGTCAGAGTGGTTTGGGCCAGAAAACGGAGTGGTCTTTGTAGAAATACAGACAGAAACCAAGGTTTGAGAACATGAACATAGGATTATAGGGGAAAACAGAAGAGAGGGAGGGGACAGAGGAGAGATTGATGTTTTAAAAAGACTATACTATTTAAAGCAGAAAAACAAATTCACTTTTCCACATGCTCCAGGATCCTGAATTCTGAACAGAAGGTTTGGAAAATTACATATACTATATAACCTCTTTGTTTCGAAAACAAACCAACCATCTCTCTTTAAATGAAAGCACTGCTCAGATATAAAAAGCAATACATATATAAGATTTCTGTGCTACATTTGTGTCTGGAAACTGAATGCACATATTTATATTGTACTCACTTCTGGTGAACATATTCCCCCCTTTTTAATGGTTTTTTAAAATAAGATTTAAACAAGGAAATACAAGGAGCGCTTACTTCAATAGCCCCCCCCCATTCTTTTTCTCTCTACCAGATCCCCTCTATTCCAGTCTTGACAAATGGTAGCTCTTACCTTGAGAAGAAAGTCCTTGCTGGATGTACAATACTGTGAAAACATGGAATCCAACAGAAGGCCAAAAGATGCCCATGATTCCAAAGCGAGAGGGGGTCAGGAAGTCACATCAGGGTAATGCCAGAGAGCCACACAATCTCGCAAGAAAAGGAAGGGCAAAGAAAATTTTAAAATGAGATTGGACACCAGAGCCCCAGCTGTAACACTGCCAGTGTTCTCCTGGAAAAACTGGAAAGGAGAAGACCAGCTTCAGAAGGATTTGGTAAAAAGAAGGAGAGGAAAAGAGAGACAGACAAACAAACAAACAAACAGAGAGAGACTAATTGCTCAGATGCCAGATGTCCAGATCCAGCCTTCCTTGGATTTGAAAATCGAGCCTTCCTTGGATTTGAAAACAGATTCTTCAGAGTACCTTTCGTTGCTGCGATTTGGCAGTTCAATAAGCCCCTGCTGCTAAACACTGCATGATGAGCGCCCTCTCTAAACACTGTGCCAGCTTGGAAAAATAGGGAGGGAGATGAGAGCCTGGTGTTGCTCCTCACACTTCAACTTTTCCCCTTTTTTGCCTCTCTGTGTTGGAACAGCTGTGCTGATGCCTTTAACACTGGCTTCTTGCTAGCGCTGTCTCTGTCTGTCTGTCTCTTGTCTCTCTGTGTCTCCCCCCTCCTTGCTGTCTATGGTGCTGAGGACGAAGCATATAATGGGGCATCATTGCAGAGGGCAGAAACATTGATTGCATTGATGGGGGAATTTTCTGCATCCCTCCCATCCTAGACTGAAGGTTCAATGCGGCGGTTTCATTGATGAATCTGTTTCAATTCTTTTTCTCTCTCCCTCTCTCTCCCTGTCTTCTGCATGCACTCCAGAGGGGATATAATTAAAGAGCCAACTGTATTTTCTTCTGCTGCTTTTGTGTTATATCTTTCATATTGTAAGCTCTGATATATTACAATGGTGACAGAAAATAATTTTACAACCTTGTTTATGAACTCAGGATCCTGATCCAAAACAGATTCCCTTCTAGGAATTATTTTCAGTATCTCTTTTTGAATATTCCTAGATAATAAAAAGTTGGTTAAAATTATAGAAGTGATTGACTTCTTTCATGACATTTTACAATTTTATATTTTTCAAACATATTTTCAGAGCAAAAAATAATTTGAATTCTGACTGTGATTTTCTGAATTGCATTTTCATATATCAATACTAAGGGTGGTTCAGTGGTAAAGATGCTGCGCTTGTCAGATGGAAAACTGATAGTCTGGGTTCAAGACCTGAGTGCTCACGATGGGATGATGAGCTCTGGTTACTCACCCCACTTCCTGCCAATCTAGCAATTTTGCTACTCACATTTGCTAAGCATGCAAATGTGAGTAGAAAAATAGGCACAATTTCAGTAGGAAGGTTACAGCATTCCATGTGCCTCAGCTTATAGTCGTGCCCACAGAAATATCTTCAGACAACACTGGCTCCCTCGGCCAAGAAAGGGAGATGATACTGCCCCCTAGAATCAGAAATGAAGGGGAAATGAATGGAAGGGGAAAGCTTTACTTTTACCTTTATATCAATATTAGAAAAGGGGATATCTTGGGAACAAAATCCCAGGTGACATTCATTAAACATGAATTGATAAATACCATTTCAATATCCACTAATGAAAATAGCTGCACAACACACATATATTTAAAGCTCGCAGAAAATATCCCTACAATTTCTATTGAAAAGGGAATGGTCAGGATGCAGGGCCGGATTTAGATGAAAAGAGGCCCTAGGCTATTCCACTTATGAGGCCCTTTCACCTATAGTGAAAGTGTAATTTTAATTTTGCTAACAATTTGAATGTAGGCCTCGCTTGATCTTGAGGCCCCCTCTTGATCTTGAGGCCCTAGGCTGAAGCCTAGTTAGCCTATAGGAAAATCCGGCCCTGTCAGGATGACTGTGCTTTGGTTTTCCCCGCAAATATTAAACCTACATTGGCTTATATAAAGGGCTGAAAAAAATGAACTAATTTGATTCCTTCTGCAATAGCCAGATTTATTTTTTAGTTACAAACTGTTGAGTGATTGTTGCTTATATTTAATAAACTACTCTATTTGGAATGTAGAACAAAACTAAAATGTTTTCATATAAGATTAATCAAACAATCTAGACATATAGTAAGAAAAGTGGGTGAGCAAATATTTACTATTAGCTGAAATTTAGAAGCATTTAAATGATTATTATAAATTGTCTGACAGAAAATTCAATTTAAATTTAGTCTTTTGTGGATAATAATGCCTACTAGACTTATATATTTTGTAATAATCATTTCAAAGCCTGTTTAAAAAATAATGTTTCCAATATGTTGCTTCATTTGGTTGAAATGTACTACATAGTATTTGCCTATTAAACTGTTCACTGAATCATGTCTCTTCTGAAGGCATCTTTCATGGACGTTAATTTCTTTCTTGTTCTTTTATTGTAGTCTTACAAATCCTGGATGAAGTTGGTTATTTATCAGGAGTGTCCATGTATATGATCAACATTTGTAAACAGATTATGGATTCTTCTAGAAAGCTGCCATGAGAACTAATTTTGTCTAAAAAGCAGCACTGTTATATTTAACTTTGCATCTATTTAACAATGGAATAAGCAATTTTAATTTCAGTGCTTGATACATAGCAAGCGGTTGATGAAATTAGAATTTATATTTTATCATAATCTAGCTGCATTCCCTACTCCCAGCAACTCTAGTCCTGTTTAATTATAAAGAAATGAAAGGACTTAGTTTGCATTAACTTTTGTAAAATTTATGCATCACCAAAGTATGCATAAATAATTATCTTTTCTTTTTTTCCACTCTTCTTTTGAAAGAAGAACTGTGGAAAAAGAAAATTTGATCCTATTCTATCATTTTAGACTCTCAACATAACAAAGTTAACTTTTTAAACATTATATGGTATATCCACTAAGCATGAGCTTTTTTAGTTGAATATATCTCAACTTAATATTGTAAGAAATGTATTTAATATTTTTAATTTTCATTGAATCATTAATATGCAGCTTTCTAAGTTTTCAGTTCAAGTTCTTGCAAATAATTAATATGCATCATCACCATTCTTTTTTATGGTCTATTAAAAAAATAGTCTATTAAAAAAAACCTACAGATTTAGAATCGAGCCAACAGAAACTCAGTAATTGGATTAATTGTGAAACCCACAGATATTTAATTGAATGTTTGGCTATTTTGCGATTTTAGAAAATAACAATTCCTTTTGTAGTAATTTGAACAATTAAAATTAGCTGATCTAAATTATTAATATCCATTAGCCAATAAACTTAAATATATTTTAAAAAAGAATTGTAAAAGATCTGTATGCAGTTTTCTGAATGGGATTATCCCAACATTTATCATATGAATAAAAATCAAAAATTTTACTTCCATTCCAAGATTTTTCAAATAGGCCTTGCAACCATTTATGCTGGAAGTATAGTAAAATCTTGAGTGAATCTACAATGATCTCAGAGCTTTCACATAATAACATTCTTATTATGTCCATAATATTTTGGACTGTACCATTTGGATTCCATGGGAAACAAAAGTAAAGATATATGGCCAATGATTAAAAAGAAAATAAGAAAACTTGAAATCTCTATCATCATATTACTATTGTAATTTAAATAAAGGAAATTAGGAAATCAGTTTTTCCCACAGAATTATTTTTAGACCATTATTAATACATTTGAAAAACCGTCACAGTATTATCATGGATATTCCTATAAGAAATACATCAGTCTGGAAGAATATTCATTTTCACAAATAATCTTTTCTTAAAAGCTCATTAGGATTTTTATCAATCTCTTTATAACAATATTATCAATTTATTATATTATTTTATATTTTATTTGCATGCCACCTCAACCTTAATTTAGGATTGTGTTTGAAATATTCATATTTATCATAAACACAGAGGAGAAGATAATTATTCAAAATTATCTATAAAAATCCAGATATCAAATGATGTCTCAATGCTTACAGATTTCTATAGATACATTAAAATGTCTAGGAAACATATGACGTTACTCCAACTACCTGAGTACATAGATTGTTGTACAATAGCCATTTGGAATAGAATATTGATAATTATTAATAAAATATATCATCGGCATATATCAATTATTATTTCAATTCTAGCCACTATTATCTTTGGAATGTCTTTGGTTATAAATGTCAATGGTTTCAATATGTCAATGGTTTCAATATAAGATTAAATATCATATATTCTGAGGCATCTTGACAGATACTTCATGAAATGAAAAGGCTGGTAAACATTTAATTCACACACACACACACACACACACACACACACACACACACACTCACGCACACACACACCAGTTCAGGATTCCACTACTACATTATCCCAGCCGACAGCTTCAGCTTAAATATCTCCTGTGATGGTGAGTCCATCATTTCCTGAAGCAGTCTATTCCATTCTTGGATAGCTTTTGCCATTAGAAAATTTCTTCTGATGTCCAATTGAAATGTACTTGCAATTTAAACCCATTTCTTGCCTTGTCTTCTAGTATAGGTCTGAACAATTCTATATAACAATTATTCATATACTTGAAGACAGCTATCATGTCTCCCCACAGTCTTTCTTCTCTACATAGGTCTTCCAGCTGCTTGTCATAGATGTTTACTAGGTCACTTGTTTTAGTTGTTCTCTACTAGACACATTCTAATTTTTCAAATCCTTCCTAAAACGTGATATTCCAAATTGGACACATTGATCTAAATGAGGCCTGACAAAAGTACAATAGAGAGGAATGATAACTGCTTGATATTATACTTCTCTTGATACAACTGGCTTTTTTAAAGCAGCTTCTCTGATATGAGCATTTATAGAAATTTCACAAATAAATCTATACATTTACCTGATGACCTACTAAGATAAGGTGACCAGACGTCCCGCTTTTGGCGGGACAGTCCCGCTTTTTAGCAATTTGTCCCACGTCTCGCGGCGTTTCAAAAAAGTCCCGATTTTTCATTCTGCCTCCTCAGTCCCGCTGCCTCTTGAGCCCCAGCTGATGGCTAGAAGAAAAAAAAACTGTTTAAACTCTTGCCCGGGGCTTCAAAGGGCCGCCCTACAGGCAATCAGTGTAAAGAGTTCCTGAAGCAGTTTTTTTTTCCCCTAGCTAAGCTGCAGAAACGAAACCGAAACCAGGATCTTTGGTGGAACGTGACAAAATGAGGCAGAGAGAGATTTATTTTTATTTTTATTTTTCCTCCCCAAAAAAGGTAGGTGAAAAACTGCAAACAATGGGAAATTTAGGAGGAGAGTTCAAGATTTTAAAACACAAAAGAAAAAAAAGCTGTATTTAACTAGGGAATTGTAATAATTGAATTGAGATACTATTAATTGTATATTGTGTTGAAAGCAGAAATGTTTAAGTTGTGGTTCAGAGGAATATATGGGGGAAATTATTTGGTTTATTATTATTGGTAAATATAATTAATTGATTTGTAAGAAATTGGATTGCATGGAAATAATTGGAATATTCATGTTCATATTGATTAATATACAAAAAAGATAGTTTTATAACTAATTGATTTATATTAAAATGTTGAATTTGTATTAAACAACTGTATTACATAATTACATAATTAAACAATGTGAGGATGGATATAAAAATAGATGACAATGGGAAGGGGTATAATATAGAATAGAAGGGAAAAATTGAATTTGATTAAGATTAGAGATGAGGATGAAGGGTAATATTGTTTTTTTAAAAAAATAGATGAGGAATAAATATGGCAAAAAGGAAATATAGAAATTGTAAATTAAATTGAAATGACTAAACACTGTTTAAATTTGTG